AATTATGCCTACATAATACTAAACTTCGTTGCTTCATGTGATGATCTACGAAATTTGAATAGAGACAGTTAATGGTAGCATAAATTGATGGAATCTTCGTAAAAATCATCTCATCCAGTCTTATTGAATATTACTAGTCGAGTTGAATTAGTTTTCAAGAGGAGTTGCTGCATTAATTCACTAATTTTTATAGTAGCTTCTCTTGTTTTATTGGTATGGTGTCAATCATAATGATGATCAAGGACAGATGGGACTTTTTCATTATATCTTATTTCTTTTTCTTTTTGAATCATATGATAATAGAAGCTTCTCACTTTTACAGACGTCAAATATGTCTGGTAATAAAGGATGAGATGTACTTCTACTGTGTATATGCAGATAGGTAAAATTTAAAGATTGTTGAATCAATCAAAAAGTATGATATTTCAGCACATACTTTGAATATGTCAGTCAGGTTGTTCAACGAAAAAAGTGTTCGCCTTATCTTACCTCATATTTTACAAACATCTGACTTCATGATGTCTTTACAGTTGGCAGGTAGTTTTTATTTAGTCCCTGAGGCAAAGGATTATTATAAGAATGAAAGTAAAGTTTTATATCAAGTGGAAACAAGAAACATAGTTTGTTACAAATGCATGTGAAACAATTCTAAGAATCCATTATTTAATAACGATATTTTTTTTATATAGGATTATACATTATCTATCAAAATAATTCTTTCATTTTCGAACCATACATTTGACCTCAAATCTTGTAATATTAAGGCTTTTTAAATATATCGATTGCCGCCCATGAGATCGAACAGTTTTATTTTGATTATATGTCCCGTTTTTATCGAAGCTATACGATTAATTTTTTTCAATCGATTTTCGAAGAAAATCTCTAAAAATTTAACAATTTTTCTTAATGTAGTTAGTCTTCATCATTGTGCAAAATCCTATACATTCGTTTACTTCAATCGTCTATACTCTTCCTTATAACATCATATCAACTTTTTCAGACCATAGTTGAGTAGCTTAAGTAAGATCAATTTAGATTGCACCTGATTCTAGTTTATTGCCTGATTCACTCCATCTCAGATACTGTAATCGATTGAGTTTTAGCCAGAACTATGGACTGCTCCACATGCAGATAAAAGAAAAGGTGACATATTTTGACAACACTATTCCTGTGTATTGTCATCTCTATATGCAAGGATATTGTCCTTTTGAAAAGTCAAATCATCATCGTACATCTCATGTGTATGCTTGCTGGCTATAAGAAGCACTTTTCAATGTATACGTGATGATCCACCGAATCCTTTTCGAGTATAACGTGTGGTGTTAAAGTTTGAGCGGAATCACCTAACCATAGCATTAGTGTATGTGAGAATTCTTGATTTCTCTTGAATACTACCCTTTCTATCTGCTTTTTCAACTTTTACCGCCCGAACACGATCATTTTGTGAATTGTACAAATCATTGATATTCAAAAATTGTGTGCATACATTTCGCAAAAGTTTGATTTTGTAAAGTATGATTGTTGGTAATTGCAGGTTCAATAGGTAGCTTCTACGGATCACATTCTAGATTTTCTTTTAATCTTCTCTGAACACTGGTTCTTGATTTTTTCAATTCTCTCGCGAATTTTTCTCTGGACACCTTTGTTTGCTTGTTCAAGTGCCGTTTAACCTTCATTGTCATTGCCTTTGTTCTAACAGCGTGTTGCTAAACAATCATTTAGACAACGAAAAATCTGGCGAGCACATATTCCGTCATCCTGAAGAGAAAGTAGAAATTTACAACGATTTTGACTTTTTTGTCATCTAACACATGAATAAGCCAGTATACAAAAGTGTTTGTAAAGAGTTTTCTAAAGAATATTTTGAATAATCTACTGAAAAATAAAATTAGTGTTATTACTTCCGAAAAGACGGGAGTTATGATCAAAATACAAGTGTTCGACTTCATCTGGGTCACTCGATAAAATCTCATATATACGGACATACTCAAGAAGATAAATTCTGAATTTTGGATCATTAAACACAAATATCTTGTAGTTTTAGATTTCAATCAATAATGTTTTGATAAAAAAAAAAATTCATTTAGTGAAATGAGTTGAATCATGTTCAAAACTGAAAAAAAAATAATCAGTTTAGTACTCAATTCAATTAAACTTAATCATAAATTATTGACAAGCTTAATAGTATCGATTGTTCTCATTCGTATTTTTTTCTCATTCATATTATAATTGTAGAGAAGAGAACAAGAAGATACAACAACAGTTCTTGTTTGCATTAATATCTATCAATCTATAGTTTTGATATATACATGATATGATGATCATCAATAACGATTAAAAAATATCCGTAGATTTATTTGAGCAAAATTTTAACTCATCATAGAATACATTCGTAAGACATATGCCTCTTGTTATTCTTTTTGTTTTGAATCATTCTTTTGTGAAGCAATTAATTATTAATTTTGCACATGTCAAGTTTTTACGTATCAGAAAAGCATCGGTACAGAATAATAATCATTCTTATACGAAATAAAAAACTTAAAATACTTTTTCTTGTAACATTATCAGCCATTCTTTCGTGTATGTCTCATCGTACATCCCTAGTTTAAGTAGCTTCAACGACGCGTGTTCTTTATTAATATATTTTTTCTTAAATTGATTTTAGCTTTTGCTCTTCTCCTTCTCTTTTTTTTTTTACCATGATATGATTTATTTGTTAGATGAACATTATTGTTATGCAGTATTTATGAATTCTCTTGTAGTATCCTTTAGGCAGCATTCATAAGTTATGGCATTATTACATTGTGTTTGTTTAATATGTGTACTTATGTTAGAATATTTATTCGGCAACGATCAAATAATCAAATACAAGCACTAAAAAGCAGATAATCTCGACATTTGCTGACTATTCAATGTATTCTTATCACTCTCGATATATAATATTTCTTGGAATACTCAGTTTCATTTTGATCATAATATGAACTATCATTAGTGAAGAATATCCTTTGAGCTTTTATATTACATGGATTTCATGCATTGCATCTGTGGCAGGACTCAGTTTAGCAATGATTTTTTTAATTTCGTCCTTGAATAATATTGTTTAGTAAAAGCGATTACGATACAAATGATCGCTAAACTGCAATATTATATCTATTCAACAAAATAGATCAATACCATATTCATAGTTCATGACTTTTTTTTTGTTTTCCATATATTTATTTTGAAATTCGTATATCGATTATAAAATATCCAATTATCACTTACTTCTAATCTTTTTATTATCGACTATATAGAGATTGAATACATTCAATTTAGTTATTGATGAATATGTGAATAAAGATGTTTCGTATTGAAAACTAGGTTTTTTTTCAAATGTTTACATCTTCATGCATTCTATTGATTGTTTTTCTCGTAAGATGAAGCAGATGAAAAATATAATCATCTTGATGTAAGTTACTTTTCTCATTTATAGAAACAACTAATAGAAATTTTCATAAGAATTCAAAACAAACATAACTTATCATATGCAGTTTGAACTGCGTATGAACATGTTTTAAGAGCATGTGAAAAGGTCGAATATTAAAATGATTCTACATGTGAAATGCGTGCAGACATGCATGTTTATTAAAACGCATATATTAATGTACATGACTGTATGGAACAACTATGTCTACATGTAGCTTAAGCCTATTTTAAATGCATATCGATACATAAGTTATACAATACATATGAATCCTAATAAAACAAAACGTTTATTTCTATTTGTGGGAAAAATATCCTTTTGTTTTGTATTGAAATGTGTTGCTTTTGAGTCACATTACAACTGTTTTTCGCCTCCTCTCCTTATCTCTAGGAATTTATTTTATTCTATATGCCGCCTCTTAACTTGCATGCTTTATTTTATTTTATTTTTTTTCTTGATTCTTTGTATCGAATGTATGAATAAGGCTGTTCCTATTTATCCCTTTTTCGTTTGTTTTTTGCTTTATATTCATGTCAGTTATTTAATGATTCGATTATATTTCTTTAATATAAAATACAAATACGAAATAATCCAAGGATATAAAATTCAAACTAACGGTAACTATTTTTCTCTTATATGGATCGAACAATATAAGATTTCTTCTTCACTCTCAATCAATAAGTATTTATATGATGATATCGGAAATTTTTAGCTTCCTCTATCAGATTGATAAAACTAACGGAGTTTTATATCTGAACAAGTGCTTAATGAAACAGAGAAAACTAAAGACGGTCAATGCAATGGTATTTTTTTTTGTTATTCCTATATTAATGTAAAGTTCCTGAGCAAACGGTAATCTTAAACAATTTTTTATTTTTATTATAAAAAAAATTTAGTCCACATTCATTAATTAACTTTTCATGCTACTTACTATTTGTTTTCTTTCTTCGTAACAGACTTCATGAAAATCATTTCATTTTTTTCATGAAAGAAACTGTAGGTGTTGCCAATGAAAAGTACACTCTCCGAATACTGTTAGTGATATTTGAATTATGCTCTTGCTATTGGTTACTTCTTACTAAACTTTTAAGAATTCGATTAAATGTGGTCGGTATCCTTCATTTTACTCTAGATCTAGTAATATCTTTGTTGAAAAACATTCGCTGAATAAATCACTAAATCAATTTATAATAGAAAATAGATCTCCATAGCAGTAACAACTGAAACTAGAAGTACTCGTGACTAAGGCTTTTTCTAGTTCTAACCTTGCGGAAAATATTTGATGATCTGTTCGTACGAAGTCTAGATAATTTCTAAGTTCGTTTTTTTCGATTTATTCAATCGAAGAATACCATATTTGTTTTTTTCTTCTGAAGTTTATGTTGCTTGATACGAAAACTACGTTGCACTCACTCTGAAATCATAATCTGTCTAAATTAAATCTGTTTCGTACAACTGTATTACTAACATATACAACAATGCTAACAGAATGATAGAAATTCTATGTATCTCTTTTTGTAGAGAACTTAATTCAGCTATGGATAAGAATCATTTACGTGGAATCATATTGAAACTTCAGGATTATTTAAGTGATAATGATCGACAACGTTTACATTTTTTTCTTGGAGACAGTGTTCCACGACAAATTAGAGATGATCAAACACTAAGTGGTACTCTCAAGTTGATGGAATCACTGTTAGATCAAGATAAAATCAATGAAAGTGATGTCACATTTTTAATTAATGCCTTTGATGCAATTCAATGCATTGATGGTGTTAAACTTCTCAATGGTATAGTTTTTTATTTGATTAATGTTCTATTTGGATTTTGTTCATCTAGAACATATGAAATGGATGCAGTCAAATCCAATGCATAAATCAACACAGAATTTATCACCAATAGTCCCATCATTCATTGATCAAGTTATTATGGATCAAGAAGATAAAAATTCCACTCAAACCTGTGAGTAGAATCGTTATTATTCTTTAAAATTCGTTTATATTTAACTGATAAATATAGTTTTTCTGCACCAGAAAAATCATTGCAGTAAAAACAATAAGATTATCAATAGTAATAATACAAATATTAATCCATTGACAATCACTATCGATAACCAAAAACTATTATCTTCGTCATCCAAACAAAATCAATTATTTTACATGTCATCGATAACAAACAAATATTGTTTTTTAATGCTTTTCTTATTAGTTATTGCATTTGGAATATTGGTGGGTCTTTTCTTCATAAAAATCAAAGAAATTAATGGACTAAAAAATAGTTTGAAAATCAAAAATGATAGTTTTTTGGAAGAACAAAGAAAGACTAATCAAACCATTCAACATTTAAACAATCTTAACTTAGAAAACATTCACAAACTTGAACAATTGAACAAACGGATAGAAGACATGAAAAATGGGAAAAGTAAGATAAATACACTGTTTCTTTTTCTAAAGATATCAATAATAAATTCAATGTTCGATTGTATCAGGTATTATTTTCATCAAAGCCGGTCAAAAGTTTGGTGGTACAAGTGGTGACTACTTCGATGATTCTTTCTTACCGGATTTTACTTGTCATCATTTAAGTGGCATCACTACTTATCGTAATGATGACAGAATGGAATCATATGAGTTTTCTTATTCTTCAGATGATGATAATCACAATCCAATAGAATCACAGACTCACGACAATCAAAATGCTATAATTAAGACACAATTCGAATTTGATAATGACGAAAAGATAGAGAGAGTGGAAGGACAGCTTATTAATGAAAATATTGTCTTTCCTAACGGCACAAACATAACAACATCACGAATCACGGGACTTCAATTCTTTTCAACAAAAGGTCGAGCAAGTCCATCATACAATGGTCGATTGGGTGAAACGTTTACCGAAAATTTTGATGGATACACTGTAGGCTTCGTTACTGGAAGATCGAACCATTATATTAATCAGTTACAGTTCTTTTGGTATCGAACAGAAAATAAATGTTAATCATTAATGGTCAATATCGTCATTTTTACAATTTCTCGATTATGCCAGTCGATGAATGATTCTTTTGAGATTTTGACAAAAGAACATATGTCTTTACACTAAGTTATAATGAGAGCTTTTCATTCATTGTGAGATCAATCATTCCAACTATTTGATTCAATCCCCATTGGAAGTGAATTAAACGTCGGTAGATCATTGCTTTTTTTTATGCGGGATGTTTTACGTCCACTGACGCTTTACAATTACTGCACCTTCAGCATATACATTAATACCTCTCTATAGAGGACACGTAAGAGACTCTTTCTAAGTGTCTACTGTAGGGAAATGTCCACTTTTGAGAAGATTTCAATTTTTTTCTTGATAGTCATTTCTGTAGTAACTGAAGCAAATTAATCTCCCTTTCTCAATATGAATTATTTTGTAAAAAACAGATGTTTTGAGAATATTTTATATGATAATTAATTGAAAAATTTTTGAATTTCATCAATATTTTTAGAATAAGTCAATTATATAAGTTTGTTTGAACACTTTTCAATTAAGATTAAAGTCAGTCATTTTCCCCTCGATTTCATTGATAACTATGTATAGGCATGTCATTTTTCTGTTAATTTAATTTTGAATTTAATAAATTTTCGTAAATGTAGATTGATCATACCTAACTACATGTAGCCCATCTTGCAGTGTCTAGCATAAGTCAAGCTTTCTAAATCAATCTTACTTATACATTTTCTAGTTCTATCCCAGCTGGCACGAGCACAGCTGAGCCTAACTCTATCCGACTTGGGCTCTAATATCGATCGCTTTTCTCCTTTCTATTGAAAAATACAATTTCTTGATCCATCTTTCTTCCTTTCTTTTTCTAGTTGGATGTAAAGGATATATCCTTGGCTTCTTTTCGTCTTAAATATTTCGTTGATATTCCATAGTTGAGATAAGAGGACTATGTAACAGAAGTTTTTTCTTGTTTCTTCTTCTTTTCTTTGGGATATAGCATGTGAGATCTATAGCTTCTTGTTGTGCTGAGCTTCTCCACGCTCTTATGTAAAACCTTGAAAATGAAAAAGCATTCAAAATGTCTTTTGTGTCTGCAATTTGTTCAGACTCCAGATTGACACAATATTTAACACGTGATAGAGTTGGAAACGAACGATTGTGTTGTCGATTGGTTCACAGATCGTTTATTTGAGCTGTTCTGGATTCAGATCATAATAGATAATGATGAGAACGGCATCGAAGAGTCACTTTGTGATGCAAGTGATAGAAGTGTTGTGAAAGCAAAAAAGATACAAATCGTAATGTTGAATATCTATTGGTGCGAAAAAGGTTGCTGGTGCGAGCACTATAGCGTCTACATGGTCATTGGACTAAAAATTATAACGAACAGTTTTCTAATCAGGAACAAATAATCGTTCTTCTTAAATTAATTGAATCGAACACAACAATTATAACTTGATCGATTTGTGCTTCTTACGTTCATTTTATGACAAGTGTGGCAAATCTAAGCATCGTTACCCATCATTCTTGATATCTTGAATATAAATGTTTTTATCTGCGTGGTTGTCAAAAACTTCACTATTTAAAACATTGAGAACGGTATGCCAACCATTGAAATTGCGATGCAGGCAACAGAATTTTCTAGAATAGTCAACTTCATGTCATTAATTTTATTTAGCTCCTCTTTACTGGATTTCTAAGTGTTTATAATGAGAAGGTAGAATCGAAGAACTTCAACTTACAGCTTACATTCACTATTGTCTTCGAAAATATGTGCAAGTTCTACAAAAGCTCACCAATATATTTCTAAGGGTCTATTAATCGAACATTATTTTTACGTGTATTATGTATTAAATGTAACAATTTCAAATTAATTATCTGAATATGAGTATATTTCACCTAATAATATAATTAATTAATAAGATTTACATATTCGTAAAAAGAACCAAAACTGTTCTTCAGAATAGTTTGTTTTAGATATGTCCAAATGCAATATCTTGGCCAATACCTCTGTCGATGAGTGCAGCTAAATTCAGTTTATAATTACTATTTCGATCAGCGTTTTGAATTATGATACAGGAACATATATGAATTAGCACTAAGTACAGTAAGAAGTATAAAAGCGGTTGATTGACCAATATCGTTTGTACCTAAACGATCAGCATCTAGAAGACGAGATGCTTCAAATATATCATCAGCTGCACGTAAAGCTATCATGAATGGTTTCAAAGCTTGGTCAAATTGACCAAATGGTGACATTGGTTTTTGTATTGTAGCTACTAATCGCTCATAATCTTGTTGTTTTATTGATACACGATAATTATGTTCTCCACCATTCCAACGACGTTCTTTGTATAAATATTCAGCTTCGACAACTTGATCACCGTTTCAGTAAACAATTTCATCAATCCGAATATCAAATTGCTTTGTTGCCATTATTGAAAATGGAAGTAAAGAAATTAGAAGTCATTTCGATTGGGGTTCTTTGATTGATGAAATTCAGTGATTGTCGTTGTCGTTCTGACTTTAATATAATGCAAGAAAAAAATAACAAATTAAAGTTTTTATATAGACTTTTCTTTTTCATGGTCATGAAACTTTTGTTGCATACCCTCTTGTATAAGTAACCGCAACGTGCCAAAATCAGAACACAAAAACATACTAATGAAATCAAAAAACCCACACTCGTCCACATCTATCTAATTACCTAAATATTTATATATTTACCTATTTATCTATGAAATATATAGATAAGTAGATAAATATTTATCTACCTATCTAAATATCTGTCTATCTAAGTATAGAGTGATAGCCTATTAAGGAAGAAATTCTGATGATAATATTGCTGACGTTTGCCATGAACGCTCTTGTACTATGTCTTTAAGAATTTTTATGAGCCATTTCATTTTAGAGACTGTCGTCAAGGCAGGTCTTCTCCAGATGCTCCTATGCACTGTTCTGTGCTACAGAAGAACGGATTTCTTTTTTGCCCCAACCTGTTCGTTCTACAGGGCGACCAAAATAGGGTGCAGGGCAAGACAGAACAAATTATTTAATAGGATGTCGCTATAAGCTACCCACGTTCACATTTCATACACTATATCTCTGAGTAACATTACAAGTGACCAAAGACTAGTTTTAGTGTATTTTTTCAATGTATACTGTCCTCTAGTCTCAATACACTTGTGTATTCGAATAAACCAGTTATCGATACAATTTTTAAGTCGTCTTTTGTCAGAGTGTAGATGACTCGTTCTAATGCATTCAAAAGTGTGGTGTCATTGTCGAATTGAATTTTATGCAGTTGATTTTTAAGTTTCGAAGATGAGAATAAGTAACACGTACTTTGATCTGGAGAATATGCTGAATTCTAATATGGCTCTACGTGTCTTTTGGTCACAAATTCAACAGCACCACGAGCTCTATGTGGTCTCATGTTATCGTCATGAAAAATCAGACTTCGAAGACCGCTCCTTTTTCTCCATTCGAATACCACTTTGAAGATTTGTGCTCGGCAGATATTGACGTACCTATTAGCATTTATCGTCTCACCAGGTTCTAATTGTATAGACTTAATTACATCAAATTTCATGAAGAACATTGCCACCATTGGTTTATCTGAACTAGAGTCCGATTGACTTTTCTTAGTCACGGTTCGATTTTTGATACCCACACTTCTCAAGGCTTTTCGTTTTTGGATCATGATGATAGAACTGTGATTCATTACCAGTAGTAATGTCGAATAGACAATGGAAATGATCTTCTTCAGATTGTACGACTGGCTAGTGGCAAAGTTGAAAACACGGCTGTTTTTGGTTATCGGCTAGCTGATGAGACATTCCCTTTAGCACAAACTTTTCTTAGCTTCGAATAGTCGTGAACAATTAAATCAACCACTGATGAATCAATAAAGATTATTTTCAGTTACCGCTCGGATATAATCAATTGTTTCCTAGTTGACAGCGATTCGAAGATGACCTAAACGAGCAGCATGTTGAATACTGTAATTCGTCCGTTGAAATTTATGAAACCCATTGAGAACTGTATGGTCAAAAGGTGCTTGGTCGTCTCCCGCTTACATCTAACGAACATGGCTTTTCTTGTACGTCAAGTTAATTTTCCAATCATATAAAATCATATTTCGAAATTGTTCACATGAGAGCTTAAAAAATCATATTGAAACTAATCTGTTACCGGTTTAAATGAAATGAAAAGATTGAGCGATGTACATGACAAAAAATGAATGAAAGTTTTCACATAATCCTAAATATGTCTAAGCATTATGGTACAATAGTTACGTTCAAATTAAGACTTTTAGGAGAATCGAGCGAAAAAACTTTTCGAGTGTCTTATGTATATTGTAATTTTCCTTTGTTTATCTCCTTTACATTAGTCTTCATATTCAGTATCTGTATTCTTCCGATGTGTATTTCCTATCTCTAAGTTTATATGAGATGTGAAGATGACTTTAAAGTGTATTTTATGATTAATACTGGAAATAAATGAGCCTTGCGTATTCACAATCAAAGAAATAATAAATTATTGCTCGCTATAATTTTATTAATAGTTTCACAATCCAAGGCTCATGTAGCTATCAAACTAGGTATTAGTTAAATAGTTCACATATTATACTATATATAAATGGCATCATAAATATTAATGGTTCGTGAAAACCAGTTAGATAATCGATTTACTACTATTGAAAGTTTCGTGTACATAAATGAAGGAGATTGACTATACCATCATGAAAATGAAGATGAAATTTTTTTCTTCTTTGTTTTAAATGCTCCTCTTCAATTTGATGTTGATGATAAACAATTTTGTGCAATAGCTAATACAACACAACTAGTTCGAAATATGAATTATAAAGCTAGTTCATTTTCTAATGATATGTGTACCATCACGTAGAGAAAAATATTTGGAAGAAATTACTTATATTAATGACAAGCTACCAATTATTGTCACGACAACAAATGAATTTGTTTTGAGATATGAACAAGTTAATA